GGTGCCAGCCCCCCCCCTTCCCCAACCACCAGCAGCCCCAGGCTAGAGGGAAGGGGGGAGGAAAGGGGTTGCTCCTGCTCCCACCCAGGACAAAGACCCAGCTCCTGCACTGCCCCCCCTGCCCAAAAAGGGGTCTGACCCAAGCTCACCCCACATCCCCCCAAGGGCTGCCAGCACCCCCAGAACCCAGCTCAGAGGGTTTGGGGTCAGAGAAGCCCATACCAGATCCTCCTGCCCCCAGCACATGGCTCACCCCAATGCAGCCACCCCGCCTGGCACAACAGCAAGGGGACATCCCACCATGCTTATCCAGGGCAGGAGGTGGGCAAACCCCACAGGGACCTCATCCCCAAGTGCCCACGGATGGGGGGCGGTGGGCTGAATGCACCGGGGCAGCGTGTCCGGGCAGCATGGGGAGGGCAGTGGGTTGGGGCAGGCTGCCAGCCCCACACCGAGCCCTCCCTGCCTGGCAAGGGCAAAGGGGAACAGAGGGAGGGACAGGGAGAGGCACCGGTGTCCCCCAGGGAGACATATGCTGCTGCAAGGACCGCTCTGTGTGCCCCCGGGGTGGGTGGAGGCTGTGGTCAACAGCAGTGCCACCGCTCTGCAGGTGGGACCTGGGCACTGCCAGCAGCCGTCACCACCACTTGGGTGACCCAGGTGTGACAGGGAGGGAGCACGCTTGTGTACACATCCCTGTTTGGCCTCAAAAAGTCAGGCCCTGTCCCCTCCTGCCTGGGATAATGGTGCTATGGGATATGGTGAGAAACATGTCACGTCCCAGATTTGGCTAGCGCACGGGGGATGCTGCAGCTCTGTCCCAGGGCCAATGAGCCCCACAGCCAGCCCCAACCCCAGCTCCAGCCGTGTCCCCCAGCAAAGGAACAACTCAGGGCAGTAAGAGGATGAAGGTGTCCCTGGGGAGCAGCCCCCTTTCCACAGCACAACATCCCCATGCCAGGGCTAGAAACCCCTGCTCAAGTCCACAGCTGGGAAGAGGGCAAGGTCATGCTGACATCCCCTGGGAAAAGCCATCTCCGTGGGCACCTCCCTCCCCAGCCAACGGCACCCGTAGAAGCAAACATCAAACCATCGAGCCATCCCCCAGCAGATATGCCCACCCCAGGGTCATTAAAGCCCCCACGGGCACAGCGGAGATGCCAGCACCATCCCGCATCCCATGCGCCATCCCGCATCCCGAGGCACCGCCCCGAGCATCCTTCAGCCGGCCGCTTCCCCGTGCCGAGCGGCGTGCAAGCCGGAGGCCACCTTCAAAGTGTTGTGGGGCGGATTAGCTGGATTAGGGAGGCAGTGAAAGGACCCATGCTGCTCCGGAGGAAGTCTCGCCCAGGGCACGCTGAAAGAGCCATTTTTACCTGTCCCGGCCGCTACCGCCGGCCTCGCCAAAAGCCCCGCGGCCTCGTCCTGTCAAAACACGTCCTCCTGGCCCCATTCACCCCACGGCGTGGGGCTGGCCCTGGGGAAACGGGGCAGGCGGGGGGGTGCGTGTGTAGGTGGGTGGTGGATGCCAAGGGATGAACGGGGGCTCGCCACTGCCCCAGCGCCTCCGACCAAACCCGGTCCCACCAAAGGGGCTCCCACCGCACGGCGAAGGCAAAGCGGGG